ACGCGGCGTCAGCGAGAGCGAGCAACGCCGTGCGGTAGGCGAGCACGGTCTCCGTGTCCGCCTTCCGTCTTGCGTAGAAATGATGGCGGCACGCCGAGGGAGGACCGTAGACTTTGGCCATGAGAGCCAGCGCATCCTTGAGCGTGGAGCGGTCCGACCTGCGTGCGGACGTGAAGGCCGCGAGCGCGTTGTCGTCCAGCATGGCAGGCAGTGCCCGCAGTGCCGTAGCGTCGGACCAGGCGGACATCTCTTGATGCGCCAAAAATCTGCGCTGAAATTGGCTCCAATCCCCGCCTTCCGCCTTGAATGCTGACAACGTGGGAAGGCGCTGCTGAAAGATAAAGTCGTCCTCCTCCTCGTGCTTCCTCTCTGCCCCCCCGTCGGTGTGTAAGATGGCGGCCCCAGTGGCGGGTGTGTGATGGCGGTCCGCCGCGCGCGTTGGTGACGTCAGCGGCCGCGCATGGAGAACCGCTGCCACGTGGTGATGGCCGTTCCCGCCAAAAGTTGGAGCGGATGAAATGGCGGGAATCGCCAAATCGTTTTGGCGGGAATCTGCAGGGCGATCCTGTAGCACGTCGGCCGCCGTCCCCGCTCCTCCCGACGAGCTGATCTCCGCCAAGATGGACGCGGCGGCGAGCAGCAGCTCCGCCAGACGGGAGTGTGCCTCGCGAAGCACGGTGTCAGTCCCCCGTCGCTCGACCGGCGCCGTCGGTGGATCCTGCCCCGTGGGCAGCTCCTCTTCCTCACCCCCTGATGCCCGCTGGCCCGCGTCGTCGAGGTTGTCCTCGTGGTCAATCCCGTGGGTCCGACGGTTCCTCCTTGTATCCATGCTTGGAGGACCGTTTCACTTCTGACGCCAGTTGAAGTATGGGAATTGACGGCAGGAACTTCTTGACGGGTAACACACTTTTATTAAATCCTTTAGGTATCACAATACAACGTGTGGTCTCTCTTCTTCCTCCGACACACTCCACTAATCTCGTGTAAGCTCTAGGCCTCTGGCTACACCCGATACACTGGACTCGTGTAGACCCTATGCCTCTGGCTACACACAATATACTCGACTCGTGTAAGCCCTATGCCTCTGGCTACACAATACACTCGACTCGTGTAAGCCCTATGCCTCTGGCTACACAATACACTCGACTCGTGTAAGCCCTATGCCCTGGCTACACATAGTACATTCGGCTCGTGTAGACCTATGGCTACACCCGCTACACTCGCCTCTGGGTTACACAGAGTCCCGGTCCCCTTAGGACAGCGGGGCTAGGTACCGCAGGGCTCTAGGTCTTCATCCCCGTCTTCCTTCTTCGCTGGTTACACACTGCCCTTACGCCTGTGTGCATCCCCTTTTATAGCCCCTGCTCACGAGGGACGGAGCTGACGCGGCGTCGACGTGAGCGTCGTTCCTTAAAGACCCAATCACGACGCACTCTCTCTACGATCCGCTTTCCCCAGCGCGTGTTAACATTACTCCACCAATCACACTGCGCTGCCACCTGATCACTCCCTCTCAGCGCGTCACCACCTACACAGCCAATCATCACGCACTGTGCATACGATCCTTAATCCCAGCGCGTATCACCTCTACAATTGCATGATATTCTAGCGAGCAATACAATTTGCTGACAAGCGAGAAATATTCCATGGCTCCGTTAACTGAAACAATACCAGTGTTATTTGTAAGGCATTTGAATATAGTTGCATCTGAAGAAGCTGTACAGAACTGAGTGGGTAACGTGCATCCTGAGCAGCGGTGGCACTTTCATTGAATCGAGAGAAAGTCCTGAGGTTAGACTTTAATCGAGATGGGGAGTTGAGAGCACGGATTTCTGGGGGGAAGGTGAGCTCCAAACTATTGGGGGCAGCAGAGGAAAAAGAGCGACTTCCCACTGAGCAAACATTGACGGGAGGAGAGAGCCTTGGTTGCTGGAGCAGCCGAGAGAGCATGGAGGGGAGTCGTGTGAGATGCGAGGTGAGAGAGAGGCAGGCGCAAGTGCATCGAGGATCTATGAAGACGGAGAGTGCGATCTTGCAGCTGACCCAGGACTGATTTAGGAGCCAGTGGAGTTTTGGAGTGATGTGTTCTCGTTTACGATTGTGGGTTAACAATCTGGCAGTGGCATTTTGGATCATCTGAGAGATTTTGGGAGGCTACAGAAGAGAGTTGTCAGTTGTCGAGTTGATGTGTGATTAATGCATGGATGGAGTAAGGAAAGTGGTGGTTATGGGAGATGTTGTGCAGGTGGAGGTATGAGGTTCTAGAGAATTGGGAGACATGTGATGAGAATGAGAGCTCGGGATCAATCACAACTCCAAGGTTCTGCACGTCACGGTACGGTCAAAACTGACGTAGCGTATGAGTTGTGACTGTTGTAGCCACTCACAATAAACAGGTTTGTTCAGTATTATATTATAATAAGCTGCATGCAGTGATGCAGTGGTTTGCACTACGCTTAAAAATATATACATACTAGCGGGAAATACCCGGCGTTGCCCGGGGGAAAAATCTATTTAAAAACTTCTCAAAACTTAGAAACATAACATACACAAATGAAAAGCAAACTTTTATCATTACCTCATTAATTAAAATAAAATCCAACGCGCTGTGGAAAAAATTTGACGCTCGCGCGCCAAGATTCGATTCTTTAAATCGAGCAAAGGAATCGAAGGTTGTAGATTTCTTTAGAAATGGCCAATTCCCGTTTAATCGATACCACAAACGCTCACCAGATATCGTCCTGTATGCGGGTTGACGCCACGCACTTCATGGTCATTCCCCCCCCCCCCCCCAAAATATAAAAGTCTATTTTTATTAAATCCTTTATATTAAGTTCACTTGCTTGCTTGCACGCTTACGACCGTGCAAATCTTTCGGTCGTTTTTTAACCCACTTCCCGTGATCCAATCGAGCTGACATTTTCCACACAGACTCGTTGTGCGTGACAATACATTTTCGTGAAATTTTTTTTCCTAAATTTTACACTTTTTAGGAATTTTTTAAAATATTTAATTACCAATTGCTTAATGGTGCCAGGCAATCATCTGACCCATAGGTGGCAGCCATCTCAAACCAGAGGACGAGAGGACTCTAGCTGCCACGCATATAAAGGATTTATAGTGAAAAACTTTGTTTTTACGGGTTAATTTTTACTTTTTGCATTGTGTACCGTCTGGAAGCTACACACATGCCAAATTTCAAGTTTGTTGCATGTCGGGAAGTATGCTAAACATTTTGAACAGACACACATTCACAAATTTCCCTTTTACATATATATACATTTTTGCGGATGAGATTTGTTGTTTTTAAATGCTCAAAGTACCAATTTAGGCCATTGGATTGTCCTTGGTTGGGAGGCTCATGTCACCGGGTTCCAGGCACAGTTCGTGAACTGCACCACCAGCGCTCCCCCACTCTTCTATTGCGAATCAGCTTGTGATAGTTTCGAAATTGTGGTGTGATAATTAATGCAACATGCAGGTTAACTTTCGGTCGCCATGGTTGTCTAGCCTATGACTATATCGCCCTGAATGCGCCCGATCTTGTCAGATTTCAGGAGCTAAGCTGGTTCGTGCCTGGATAGTGAGTGGATGGGCGACCACGGTGCATGAAAAGTTTTCCAGGCCTTGGAGAGGCAGCAGAGGATAGTGCAAGAAAATGTCTCTGTGCTCTGTTTAGTTTGTTATCCTTCTGCACCTCTGATTAGCATGGTTGGCTAGTTCAGCATACATACGTACACATGTGTCTATGCTTCCCACCTTCACCAACTCACACGGACCAGTGTGGTGAAATACCAAATAACTACTACCTTGGAGGTTAGGGGAGCACGTCATGCAGCAGTGGATTGACAAATGGCTGTAACCCGTACATGTACGTAGTTGCCTTTGCCTATAGGGTCAAAGTTCATCAGTTGAGATTAATCTTCACTTCCGTGACAATTCATTGATTAAAAAACATTTAACGAGCACACTGTCTGCCAGATTTGTGGAACAGATCTCATGATGTTAATAATTCACGGCCAAAGGTTGACTTTTACCTAAACTCAGAATATTACAAACCGTTTGCCACGCTCAAAAGATTTCCCCCTTTTGTGTCTGGTGCCAGGAAAAATCGAATCTAAAAGAGCAAAATGTTCATTTGGATGTCATCAAATAAAGCAACAGCTTGCATGGGGATGGGGTGGCACAATACATTTGTATGTTGGATTGAGTGTTAAAAGAATAACGGAGAACTAATAACACATTTTATGAAACTTAAAAAACTTAATTTGCCAATGCTTCTTTGGCAGTGGTGCACAAACACAATTGACAAAACGTCTCAACACACTCATCAGTAACAACATTGCCTCAAAAGAAAAAGAATGGACAACTGGGCGACGTTTTGGGCAGTGGCCTTTCATAAACCAAAAGGAACATGTTGTGGCTGAGGAAACAACGATTCTAAACTGAAGATTGAATACATGGAACTCTGGGAAATGATTTGGAAAATAATTCGTGGCAAGCGGGTGTAAGTGTGAAAGCAGTAAAAAGTACATTGATGATTGGCACTTCGCAAATGGCCACCAAAATTCATGATAGAGATAGGATCTGAAAATTAATGGTAGAATTTTATGCAGAGTTATAGCTAAAATAAATCTTATCGCCCAGGAATCTGGACCATATCTAAAGGCGCTTCCGCACCCGAACTATCAGTTGCGCGTCTAACTCTCCCTCGAAATTGTGCAACTTAATCATCGGCGCAACGGCTTTGTCCACATCTGAGCGATTGGTTGTGCAACAAGTCGCGCGTCTGGTGTGGCCAAAGTGTGTTGGGGCTGAGGACGCTGGCAGCCAGAGGCACCGCCTGACCCCCACTGCACGGAGAGAGTGTTGTAGACGTGGCGTCTACGCAGTTGCGCCCGATGGCTATTCCTCCGCCGCCATGGTGGCCTTGCAAGCGCGGCGCGGTTACGCGGGGCACGGTGAAAGCGCCGCCATTGTCGGGTGCCCTCTCCCGCCAGGACCACTCGACGAGCGCACTCGCCGTGGCCTCCACGATGGCCCACGAGGTCGGCCACAACTTGGGCATGAACCACGACATGCCGGAGCGCGGCTGCGTCTGCTCGGCGTCCGCCAACAAGGGCGGCTGCATCATGGAGCCTGCCTCCGGGTATGTTTCCCATTTCCCTCTTGCTTCGGTAACTTGGTTGTGATTGTGCTGCGATCGGTCTAAACGTAACCTGTCCGAGCCAAGTTGCGCGAAAGGGGAACGTTTTTTTTGAACATTCATTTTTGTTTGTGCAATATATTTCATTTCTCACTTAATATTTTTTTTTTTGCACTTGGTTCTATTTGCTTCATTACTGTACTTTTATTTGTTTTGCTTTTGTCATTTTGACAACCCAGGTCACTCTTGCAAATGAGACTCATCCTGCTCTCCTTAGAGTTCTCATCTGGCTGCACAAATTCTACTTGACTTGATTTGACCCTCTGTGTGTGTGTGTGTATCTAAGTGCACGTGCACACGTGCCTGTGTGCGTAGGTCGACTTAGCCTCAAATGAGTACCTGGTTCAATATGTAAACATTGCCACGAGGGAGACAAAGACCGACGGGGGGGCGGTGCTGGACACCCACGACCTCGTGTGCCGTGCCGGCCTTGACAGTCGCTCGCTAACAGCATTTGCCCCAACAGTCTGTTAAGGCTACACAGGGGATCTTTGTCTTTGTGCGTGCATACGCGCGTTCAGCTTCACGCCTGGGCAGGTGTTCAGCACGTGCAGTCGAAAGGACCTGCAGGGCAGCCTCCAGCAGGGAGTAGGCATGTGTCTCTTCAACGTGCCAGGCCCTGGCGACCTGTACGGGGGCCCGCGCTGCGGGAACCAGTACGTGGAAGTCGGCGAGCAGTGCGACTGCGGCACAGTCCAGGTACCCCGTCTCACGAGCCGCGCGCTTAGCCTCGCTGTGCGCACTGCCGCCTGCAGGGCACGGCAGCTCGCCGTGACGATGCCATTGGCCACTTGGGCTTAGGGGGGGAGCCTATGCCTACGTTGGATCGCTGAGCTGGCGCCGCTGAGATCCCGAGTTCAATCCTAGGCGGGCACCCGTCGTTTAACGAGGCGTTCCAAGTGCGGCGAGTTGATCGTTTTGGTCTGCCGCCTAGTAGTAAAACACGACAACGATCTTCCTTTGAAATGGCAAAATCCGGGCCCAATGGCTCACGCTCACGACTGCGATGGAGCGCATTGGAGGTGATGGTGGGTTGGTGAAATTCCCAAACCCGCTGGTCTGTAAGGTGGCCAAAATATGTTGGTACAACAAATGGATTCTTGAATCCACTGTCTCTTGAGATTTGAATGATCACCCTTTATACGAATGGGTTTTCTCTAAGTACTCTGGTTGCCTACCACATGAATAATACTCACAAGTGGAATTGGCTAAACATCCGAATGCAGCACCCTGCTCAAAGAGTCTTGGGTCAGGTGTTCCTATAGAAATTAAAACGTTATTATTATCATCAGCATCATCATCATTTGTTGCAGTGGCATCTGTTCTCTTGAATTGGGAGCCATCTATCAATGAATATGTAGTGTCATCCTTTTTAATTGTCCAGGAAGGCTTCAAGACTGAGGAGGGTCCTGCAATGGACGTAAAATTACTGTTATGCTATCAGTTTCTAACAACATCGTTAGGATCACTTAAAGTTATTATAGTGTGCACAACTTGTTGTACATTGTTATTTACAACTTTTGTTACTCATAGTTATTTTACCCTGTAAAATGTTATATTTTAGAAATTGGCTATTACCCGGTGATAAATAAACAACGTCTGTCTTCTTCACCAGGAATGTAACAATGTGTGCTGCGATGCCAGCACATGTATGCTCAAGAAAGGTGCACAGTGTGCCGAAGGGCTGTGTTGCAAAGATTGCCAGGTGAGAGCATTTGTTACATCGTGCGTGTGTGTGCGTGTGTGTGCATGTGTGTGCGTGCATGTGTGTGCGTACGCTCGTGCGGGCATGCGTGTGTGTGGGGAAAAGCAGTAGGGAATTGGCTAGCAAGACCATGCTACGAAACTGGCCATCTGATTTTGGTTCCCATTTAGGGATAACGTTAGTTTCGAGCGATATCCGAACCAGTCATGGGCCTCCGCAAGGCCTACTTGGCCTATAATGAGTAGCTGGTGTTGCGTGTAAGCATCGTAACTGGGAAGACAAAGGTGGCCAGGCGTGGTGCTTCCCATAACTTTTCTCCATTGCTCATTCCCTTCGTCGTCCCTCCCCTCTTCCCTCCACTCATTCCCGTCCCTCCACTCATTCCATTCCTTCCCTGGCCTTTGGTGACCCCCATGTGCCCTCCGTTACGGTCACTGATTTCTCAGGCCGTTGCCATCTAAATCACTCGATTTTTGTTTCCACTTTTTAAGCTATGCAAAACGCCTCGAGCTGATGCGCTATATAAATATAGAAGAAGATAAAATACCGCTGCTTTGTGCGCTGCGCGCACGTTATTAAGTGCTCGTTAACGGAACTTGCGCCAACAGTCTGTATGGCTACAATGGGGGTCTTTGTCTTGATAAGGAGAGTGGTGTTGCTGGCCACATCTAACATGAGTGGCAAGCGATAACTGAAGCACCTCTCTTGGCAGATTTTGGAAGTGAAGTGAAGTTAAGCCTGGTTAGTCCTCACAAAACGGCGTTATAGGCTGCTGTTGAGGGGCTATGCAGTGGGCAGCAGAGGGCAGTGCAGAAAATTCCATTGTCGATCGGTGCAACTCTGGTCCCCACCTTCACCAATCCGCACCGACCAGGGTGGTAAAGTATAATCGAAGTGTTGCCATGACCATCAAGACATGGGGAGGCCCTCATCCAGCAGTGAGTTGACGAAAGGGCTGCGCATTTACTAGATATCTTGTTCCCAAGCTTCATTCCGTCTTATCGGTGCACTATTTATTCATGGAATGTATTTAACGTATGCATCAATTTATTATTTTTACATCATCATAGACCATGTGAGGTTGTTCCGTGCTCATCCCAGACTCCCCAAAGAAAACACTGGAAATGAAATCCGGATGCAAAAAAATATGCTGGAATATTTTCCAGAATATTAAATGAATAAGCCGCCTTTATCCAGGTGTATTCCTCCTACAGCCACAAACCAGTTTTCCCACATCTTATGGCTTATGCCACGAATTCTGGGTTTTTAAAGGCAGGGATTCGTGGATAACATAGATCACGATATGCATGAGAGACCTATCCTGCAGTGTGAGCGTGTGTGTGCACACATTCCTATGTATTGGCACGTGTGTACATGCATGTGCCTGCATTCTTGTGTATTGGAATTCGCACGTGTTTGCGCATGTTTGCATGCGTTTGCATGCATTAAAGAGGAGCGGTAGAATAGTGGTTAGCAACATTGCTTTACGAAACTGGCCACCTGAGTTAAATTCCTGTTCACAGCCAACACCAGTGACTATTATCTGAACCAGTCCTGGGCCTCCCTTAGATCGATTCAACCTAAAATGGGTACTTGGTGCGGCGTGTAAACATCAACACTAGGGAGACAAAGGCGGCCGGGCATGTTGCCGGTCACCCATGCCCTCGTCTGCCGTGCCGGCGTTCATAGGTGCTCACTAACAGCACTTGCCCCAAAAAGGTCTATAACTGGCTATGCGTGGGGGGGGGAGGAGGTCTTTGCATTAAAGTGTTTCGGTTCATGTGCATTCGTGCGCACAGATTCTGAGCGAGCACACGCTTTGCCGTGGCATCATGGGAGAGTGCGACCTGGCCGAGTACTGCGATGGCATCAACCCCAACTGCCCGGGCAACGTGTTCCTCAAGAGCGGCTCCCCTTGCCAGGGCGGTGCGGCGTTTTGCTACACGGGCATCTGCAACACGCTCGCCGAGCAGTGCCAGCAGCTGTGGGGATCAGGTGATGCCCCTGGCTGTCCCTCGCCAACCCCCACCCCCCCCATCCCCCATTGCACGTTTTCCCCTTTTGCTTTGGTGGCGTAGCTATCGAAGTGTGCAGGCGGTGCGACGGCAGCAGGCCCCGCGAACTGGATGGGCCCAAGCACCGGACTACGGAGAGTGGTGGGGGGAAATTGGACAGGGTCAGCTCATTTCATTCCTTGCACCTGGGCCTATTCGACGGCCCACGCTATGCCACTGCCCTAACGAGCCAATCGGACACTGTCGCGATCCATCACTCAGTGGTGTAGCTATCGAGTGCAAGCGGTGCAACTGCACCAGGACCCACGGGCGAGATGTGGAGGTTATTTCGACAGATTTGGCCAGATGTTTATGTGGCCCATGAGCCTATGACTTCATCAGCCAGAATTTGCCCGGTCTCAGATTTCGGAAGCTAAGCAGGTTGTATCTCGGATAGCGCTTGGGTGGGCGCCCACCAAGTGTTGTGGACTGTGAGGCTACTTGGTGGACAGCAGAAGAAAATTAAGAAAAATCTGAACTTATAAGCTCCCACGTCTATGTCCCCTGCCTTCACCAACCCACACTGTCCAGCGTGGTGAAGTATGGTCAAATAAAACCTCCATGACCCCGAACAGCTTGGGGTACACCCTTATCCAGTGGCGGATTGACTGAGCTGTACACATACTCACGTGCATATGCACATCTGCAGGGCTTTCTCTATATTGAGCGCCAAATAACTCGAGGCTTTCTTAGTTCTGTATAACTGCACGCGATCTCCCGCCCCCCCACCCCCTCTTCCTTTTCCCCCTCGCAGAATCCGAGCCGGCCGAAGACCTCTGCTATCAGGTGGTCAACGACAACGGGGACAAGTTTGGGAACTGTGGCCGTGACAAGTCCGGCGCCTACGTCGCCTGCTTGACCGCGTAAGACAACAGGCGCCGCCCTCGGCCTCGCCCCCCCCCTGCGACGAGCGATGAGCGGTGCCGCAGCCGCGCTGCCGTCACTCGAGCCGATAGTTGAGCAACGTGAATGGCCCCCCGTTGTGTTTGCCTCTTGGAGGTGTTTTTTTGTTGTTTTCTATTTATTAAGGCATTCTTTTCCCCACCGCCCATTTTGCCCAAAGAATTAATCCCTGAGAAAAAAAATGATCACAGGGCGATTTATTTATATTGCCCAAGTATGCGGGCAGTGTTGCTGCTGCTGCACATAATGAGTCTGCAGTAACAGTCTCCAGTCCACAGATTAAGGGACTGATGAAGAGAAGTTTTACCGTTGTTCACAGGCACAGCCCTTTTGTTAATCCGCTGCTGGATGAGGACCTCCCTAATCCACGTAGGTAATGGGGCTTATTTCACCACACTTCACCACGCTGCTCAGTGCGGGATAGTGAAGGCGGGAGGCATAAACGTGGGAGCATAGAAGTTAAGCACAACGGATTTTGCTGCAATGCACTCTGTTGCCTACCATCGCGGAACTCCACAACCTGTTTATTTGCACGACGATCTATTTACGCGCTATCCAGGCTCAAACCTGCTTAGCTTCTGAGATCTGACAAGAATCGGGCACATTCTTGCCAATTTTGTATTTCCATGCGCAAATTCATACTTTACAGCACCCTTCTCTGTGAGTGGGCCAAAGCCGTTGCTCACAATTCCACAATGCTACGGCACATTCTGGGTGGTTTGGTCAAGGGCAGGTTATTGTCCACACGTGTGGCTCTTTTGCTAGAAAGCTGTGAGGCTGAACCTGACCAAACTGACAGTTGACAACAACTAAAACACAGAAAAGTAAAGAAAAGTGTCATTTTGTTAAACTCCATTGCACTTTAAATATAATTGGCCGAAAGAAAAACCTCTTCATAAAATGAAATGTCTCTCATTTGTAACTGTTGAAATTGCCAATGATAATTACATTGGTCTAAATTTGCTACAAAATCGATGTTAAAGTCCAATAATGGCCTTGAAAGCCGATTATCTAATTTTTTTATTAATCCGTGAAGACGTTCCATCGTTACACATATAAACAGCAAGGTTGTTTAAACGTGTAACTATGCAGCCATTCATTGATTACAATTTCTTCTTCGGAGCACGATACATCCCAAAAATCGTGCGTGTAAGAAGCAATTCATTTTCATTCGTAGATGTTGTATGTAACACATTCACATGACCCCCTGCAGTCACTAAAGTGCACTATACTCGAAACCAATCTCAGATTGTAACAATTCATAGAGTCAGGACTTTTTTTTATACTTGCTTAAGTGCAATTGATTCCCTGAAGGCGTTAATGGGGTCCGCATGTAATCAACGAGTGGCGTAGGGTGCGAAAAGAGATAGTGAGTGGACCTTGAACCCTCGTGTACAAATCTAACTAGTGGGTGACGATTGGAAGGGGTTAATTGTGGAGGTCATTTACTTGCAGATACGTTTCTTGTAACAACGATTGTGGTAATAACATTCAAGCAATGGAAATAATTCATCAGTAATACACTCGCAAATTAGTACCGCGCTGCACAGTTTCTCAAAGCAGCCAGAACCAATAGCAACAATCTCCCAAGCTCTGTGGCCTTATATTGGGGACATTTAGCCAACTCCATGAATGAGTGTTTACATATGTGTAAGGAGAGCGGAGTGCCTGTAGAAAACCCTCACTTGCGAGGGGTGTAACACATCCACGGTCGCCTCCGATTATCACGGTTAGCTAAGTACGGCACGAAAGAAGCTCAACGTACACCCATCCGCCCATGCTGGATGGTGACTGAAGCTGCGATGCCACACGCACACGCAGGAACATCATGTGCGGGAAGCTGCTGTGTCGGGGTGGCACGGGCCAGCCTATCGTCGGCTGGGACATGCAAATCATCGACACGAGCATCACCATTGGCAACGTGCAGCACAAGTGCCGCGGGACCTACTTCAATCTGGGCAGCGACGTGCCCGATCCGGGCTACGTGCTGTCGGGCACCAAGTGCGGAGAGGACAAGGTACCAGCAGTGCCACAGTCACCGATGCGTGCACCGTGTAGCTGTCATTTTCTTTATACATTCACATTTCCACTTATCTCTTCACTTGCCTGCCTTTAGCTCGGTCACCTCCAGACAGTTAGATATGTAACGATGGACATTGCAGTTAAACATGCTTGGGATATTTGTGTGCGCTGTCAGCAGGGGAAATTGTATCGTGGCTTTGTTGGTACGCTTTACAGGAACGGAAATTGATCGTTAACTCCTGAGAGTCCTCTTCAGGTGGACTTCCAACATCTGCTCCAAGGGAAATTTAGCCAGCTCCATTAATACGATTCAGAGGAAATCCGCGCAATTCGTTGTATAACGCCTACGACCAAATCACCCGGAATGCGCCCGACTTTGTCAGATCCTGGAATATAAGTGGCGGTTAAGCCATGTGGTGGAAAGTAGAGGGCAATTGTTGTACTGTACTTCTATACTCTAGTGTCTGTGCTCCTTCACCGACCTGCACTGACCATTGTGGTGAAGTATGGTCAAATAACCCCCACGAGCCATTTGCACGTAAGGCCATGTGACCCCGGTGTACACGGTCACACAAGTAACTTAAAAATGTAACAAGTGACGTGACCGTGTACATCCGTACAATGATGCAAATATGGCAGCGAGTTTTAAAACTAGCCAATACTTGGGTTTTGTTTCAGGGCTATTGAGGCCTCGTGGGTAAGAGGAACTGGACCGTGACATTTCATTATCAAGGTCGACCATTGGTGATGATTGAAAGGGGTTTATTGCGCAGCAGGAAGCTGTTGAACCACGGCAATGTAGAGACTCCTAATCTTGGATCAACAATTAAGGTCTACGTGCTCATCAAAGTCCGGAGTTGTTGACTACTGTAAACTCTGGTAATGACTAGCTTTGGATCACAAGTTCAGAGCAAAGCACGACTATATTATTGGGAAAAAGTTTTAGCTGGAAAGTAGCAATGGATTTGAAACCTGTCCAGGTTGTGTCAATTCCAAAGGGAAATCATAGACCTGAAGCCTTGTGGGCTGCCTAATCAATGGCTTTTTAGTTGCGTTGAAATAACATTCTGCTTTAAAAAAAATAATATGATTATTTTTTTCTATGAATCATCAGCGTGTACTAATGTTGTTATATATACAGTGTGCAGTATGCGACGATGTCCATGAGTGTGTCCATACTCCTTAATGCGTCTGATAAATTGTCCGTCATTGAAATTAAGATTTAACGCCACGCTCTGCTGCTTGTTCATCAAACGCATGCTCACGCGTGTCGGTTCAAAGCCACGTGAACATCCCATTGGCAGCTCTTCCAGCCACCATTGTCCTGCCATCGATTCCATACGCGTCCATAATAACCTCGGCTGGAGAAATGCACTCTGGCTGGACTTGGTGTTGTATTGCAGTTGTTCTTTTTCCAAAGTGCCTTTTTGTTGTTGTTGTTGTTGATCCACAGGCCTGCTTGAACCAGGAATGCCAGAAAGTGTCGGTGTTCGGTGTTCAGGCGTGTAACAACTACTGCGGCGGTCACGGGGTACGCTTTGCCTGCTAATGCCACTGATCCCCACGATTGTGCGATTATGGACCTCGCTCGTAGTAACAGCCTCGGCTCAGAGCGAGCACAGCTGGGGGCAAAGGCTCGCGAGGGCTGTAAGAGAACGCGTGAAAAGGGCACCAGCATGGGCCAAGCCCAGATTATTGTACGAGCGTATTGCTGATTTTTATTGGGGGTTACCGAGGCTGCTGTCGTGATGCCAGGTATTCGGTTTAAACCGCCGATTTTGTGCTGAGCTAGTACATCGCCGTGCACTTGTCATGCTGCGTAGTGTAATTAGGTTGAGACGCAGTCTTGCTGTGCGTGTGGTCTCTGTGCGTGCGCAAACAGCGGTGCACCAGTTGGTGCACTGCGCTACAAACGCAGTGACCCGAGTTGATTTCCTGCCAATGGCTAATGTCAATGGCGAGTGATATCTGAACTGGTCCTGCGTGTCTCCCTTAGGTTGACTCAGCCTTAAATGAGTTCCTGGTGCGGTGTGTCGACATCATTAATGGGGAGGCACGCCACCTTATTTCTAGATTTGAAGCTTTCGTGACTGCAAGGATCCATATTCTTAGGTTTTTTCGGTAAAGTCTACCTACGTGACTTTACCGAAAAAACCTAAGAATATGAATATAGGCACGCCACCTCTTCGTGCATCGTGTCAGCTTTAATAGGCACTCGTGAGCAGCACTTGCCCAACCAGTCTGTAAAATGCCATACTGGTATTGGCATTTGTTGACCGCACTGCACTAAGGTACTGGTGACTCAGGCGGAATTCCCTGGCCCGTGTGCATCGTTCGTAACTGGTGGTCTACACATGTCCTCTACCCCTTCCTCGGTGGACTTGGCCCAAAATGAGTGTCTGGTGTGGCATGTAAACATCCGCACTGGGGAGACAAAGGCAGCTACGTGCCGGCTCACTGCGTGGCTGCCGTTCTGCTTGTGTGGCTCCACACGCCTCTTAGTCGTTCTCTCTCTTGTAGAGTGAGCGAATATTGTGTTACAAGTTGACATTATTATTGTTATTAGTTAACACACCATCGCCTTGTGTACTGCGATAACCTAGAAACCTGTGTCCAGATTTTAAAAATATAATTTTCTAATCTTAATAACTTGAGTGTTTAAACACCTCGACTTCAATTATCAAACTGCAACAGCCCTCGCAGCAGTTGTACTATACATAGCCTTTAGTCAACATAATTTTATGGACAGGCTGGCCTCCTACACGATCATGTGGGATTTCTGCCTCGGCGCCACAAGCAACGAATGAGCCCCGCAGCCTGTGCCAGCTGCAGCAGGTGGACACGTTTGTCCTGAATGCGTCGATAACGTCGATGACGTGCGCTCTCACGGTGCGCTCGCTTACCTGGCTGCGCCCGCCTGCCTGTCATTGGCTAGGTTTGCAACAACAACAACAACTGCCACTGCGATGCTGGCTGGGCACCTCCCAACTGCTCCAGTCCAGGGAACGGGGGCAGCTTGGACGGTGGCTCTCCCTGGAGCCCCACTCCACCGAGTAAGCCTCGCCGCTCCGTTTGACCGCTTCACCGCTTGACCACTGCCGGCAACCGCCGCCGCCGCCGCCGTCGGAGCTGCTGCTTCTGCTTTCACCGCAGCGATTTCCCCTCTAGCTTTTTCGCCGAATTCTTTGCCGGCCCGGTACCATTGCTGTTGCCCTGTCCTTTTGTTTTTATCATGTTCTTTGTTTAGTTGTGCATACTCCTATCTATGTGTACTGGAGACGTTTTTTATTATTCTATTTTATCATTATTTTTGTTAATCTTTAGAAAAAAGATTATGAAGGCATTGACGGACCCTACAGTATTAACTATTCTGTATTGTTTATCCTTTCGGAATTATTTTATTCCTGTTGGTTTTATTGCTCAAACGTACTTGACTGTTGTGTGTTTTAAGAAGTGTGCTTTTAATGTTAAGTGAGTTAATATCGTTATCTTGCTTACAACCTGCGTTTAAAGTGATGCTTGCTCTGAAAATGTACTGCATCGTTCACCTTTTGAAGTGGGGTTTTTGGTTAACTCTTTTGAGACCGACCAAAAAGAAACTCGAGTGCATGTTTCCTTTGCAGGCCTTGCTGACATTTCATTGTTGTACCAGGGACTGCAGTGTTCCAGTGTGCCACAGACTGTTTGGTGAAATCAACACCAGGGTGATTGTCCGAAGATGGCATTTGTTGAATCTTTGGCCTAATCATCACATTGAGTTTGTTTTTGAGAATTATTATGAATGTGTTTTAAAACACAATACCACCTGGAATGGAATTGTGGCACTTCCTTTAATGGCTTGCATGTCGGGCCATATTGCCCATGTGCCAAGGCCACATATTTAACTTGTCGGTACCACCTCAGGTGATGTCACTTTATCTATCCCACTGTATTTATTTGGCCAACAGTAGTGAACTTTGTGTTAACCACTGTTAATGAGAGGATTATCACGTAAATAACTTTTTAATCGGTGCGGCTGAAGTTGTTTTACTATAGGTGGTACCGAGTTCTGCTTTGGCCCATGGACTAATATTTCGAAGGGAATCATGTACCATGTTTGTGCAATGTGACATCCTGGTTTCCTATAGTCATGATTTGTTTTTGTTTGCAGGTGGGCAGATGATTGTACATGAATGGATCACCCACCATCACTGCATGGTCCATTTTGACCACAAAACAAACTGATGTCTCACCCTGTCTATCCATCCTACACGACCTCTTTCATTCTGCAATTTGTATTGTGGCACCACCGTGCAATCACGTGTTTTCTTTCAGGTATTTGAACCATAAACAGTATTTCTTTATTGCGCGTCTGTGTATTTCGATGTTTCGCACATCATTCCAGGTCACTGCTGCGACATGAAGATTAATGCCGCAGCTTGGGCGACGTTTCAAGCAGACGTCTCTCGCATCTGAAAATTGACCAACACAAATCTGAAAAATATATTTTGGAAAAGAAACAGAGCACCATCCGTCATTATTTACTGCTGCATCGAATAAGTAGTTATTTTTTACAGCAAGCAATGGATGATTTTCATTGGGAGGCGGCCTGTGCTCCTTCACATCCTGCGCCCATCGCGGGTGCACATTTAACGCCACTCTTCTGTTTCACATCTCCTTGGCAGGCTACCCTCCGTTAAACCTCACATCAGTAGTGATTGAGAACAGCTCGTACGTGGGCTACCCGTCCACGAACCGCGCCACAACGCTAGACGAGAGCAGATCAGTGTCCGCAGTCGTTGGTGTCAATACGCCAGCCCACGGTAGCGGTCACGGTGAGGTCACATCCACCCGCATAACCGCAGACACGACGCCCGTAGTGAACATTTAGACGCACACCAGCAGCCCCCCCCCCCCCCCCCCGTGACCTCGTTGCCTGGTGGTAATGACGAAGGTACTCACGCACCGTTCCCAATGTGTTGCCACAGGCCCAAGGTTGACACCTGACCCCCTTAATTGTATCACTTGCCCATGGCTTGGGAGAGGCTTTCATCCAGCAGTGAATTGGTAATGGCTGATGATAATAATAACAATCTTTCTTTGTATGTATTCTTAGGTTTTTTTCGGTAAAGTCACGTAGGTAAATAATTAAAATTAATAAAAGTAAAATAAAATAAAAATCACGACGTTTCGGAGGCAACACAAGCTTCCGTCTTCAGGTGGAACCGTCACAGCACGATAGCTGTATCAAGTAAGAGAAATTCCAAGAAAACAGTCCTTGTATATATACTGAAGACGGAAGCTTGTGTTGCCTCCGAAACCTCGTGATTTTTTATTTTATTTTTATTTAACTTTTATGAATTAAATTTTTTTACCTACGTGACTTTACCGAAAAAAAACCTAAGAATATGAATCCTTGCAGTCACGAAAGCTTCAAATCTAGAATTTATTTGTATGGCCTGTGAAGAGCAATGAGGAGAGCTTGGGTTGTAAGTGATTTAGCCGATAAAATTGCTTTGGGAGTTGTTTAATTGTAACTACACCGCATTCAAAAATTATATTTGGGGCAGTGTGAAGTTTTATGGCCCCAGGATTAATAGCTGTGGTCGCAGTCACACATATGAGGAGGGTCTTTTATTTCCCACCTATGAATTTGGTGTCAGTATCGTCCGTGGGATGATTACGATTATGGGGTGGTGGTTTAGGCAGTGCCAGTTAATTCTACAGGGCTTGGTTTATATTTGTCAGCAAAGTGACCATTGGAACTAAAATCAAAACCATGAAGTTGGTCATATCACTGAAGTTGTTGCGAAGTGCTACTGTAAAATCGCACAGAAACACCTGCAGAAGCAACAGTAATATTACAGTAATTGTTTTAATTCATTCAATTTTCATGAGATGTAAAACAGAACATCCGCAAACATTTCCAGCTTTGTTCACATTAGCAATGCCATAACTGTAATTGCATATTAATTTAACGACTTCTTATCATTAAGCATGCACTGCATAATCGTTCAGTTGCCTAGTTGGCTGTCGAGAAGATGGCAATGCGTGCGCGCAGTAAATGCGCGCAGTGTGAGTGCGCACCCATTGGAGTGATTAGTAAAGTAAATAACTACAGGGGTGAACCATAGTGGCGCAGAGATTTATTGTGCGCTGTGCTATGAATTTGGTGGCCTTAGTTCAATTCATGGCCCAACCAACATCAGTGGCGAGTGCTATCTGAATCGGTCCTGGTTGCCCCCTTCGCCAAACCTGTGCTGACCAGTACAGTGCAGGATGGTAAAAACAAAACAAAACCCCGATGACCGATGCAGCGTGGGGAGGCTTTTGTCCACCCGTATTGCTGTGTAAGCACACGTTGCATCTCGTATGCAAACCGCTGAGATTTTCTTAACGTTCTTCGAAAATTGTTTTTTCAACAGTGACCAAAACTCCTAACCTACGGAGTGTACCAGGTACCCATGTGTGCATGCCGATGCTGCAATAATCTTTTTTATTAAAAGTGGGGGCTGATTTTTTTTACCCCCCATGTTTAATATGATTGTGGTGGTGGTGGATTGACCTTATGATGAAGTGTCGAATGTACCTTGATAAAAGGTCATCAAAAAAATCACATGGCATGATCTCCCTTCTCCAAAAACAAAAATCCCCGCGTAATGCCTTTTGTCCATAAATTCTCACAGCGGCGTTTTGTTAAAGGATTGGAAGCGCGTCGCAGAATCTTGGCTTTGTGGACTCTGTATTCGCGTGGGATTTTAATGCGCTAATGCTGCGCCGCACCGTCTTGCAGTTAGGTTTTGGAAGGAAGCCCTTTCTCATGTCAATGTGATGGAACTTTGATGGTGGTTGTGCATTGATCCATGGGCTCAGTGGAGTACCGTAACTAATGAAGGGCATGTGAGTGGTACTGTGGGGGGTTTGTGGGTGAGGGAGTACAGGCATGCCCATTATTACCTCCATCTGTTAGGAGGTTGGGTGGAGGGCGTTGCTCACAGGAAGTGGCTGAGTCCAGTGGCATTGGGTGATCAATGCCTCTCTCACCTATTGGCTACTTTCCAGTGTGTTTTTATTTGACTTCATTGGCCAGTAAGCCACTGTCCAATTGGCCAGCAGGATGCACGACCTGCCCTATATGACGCTCCGTCCCGCAGTTTTCAAACAAGGACCTACGACCGAGGTTCTGCAGAGCTTGAAATTAGTGTGGGCAAGCACAGTGGCTCTCGGAAGGACGTGGGGAAAAAACTCCACCACAGTTAAAGGAAGTTTACTGCAAGCTGTAAAAAGTAGTGCGTTTCCCAGGAGTCATTCTGTTTGAAATTGGTTTGCTCGAAGAAATGTGTTCTTTTGTAATTAGAGCTTGTTCTTTCAGGATCACCGCATTGTTGGTGCTCTTTCAACACACTTAAAATTAAACTGCCACGAATGATTCGCATTGCAATTTTTGTAGAAGGGGACCGCGTAATTGAGCCGCCTCCGCCGCCGTGCTTCCTCGCACCGTTCGCGTGACCCGAGCATCTTGCCGCAAAAGGGCACGTGGGAGCAAAAGGGCCGCGTGGGCGAATTGTTGCACCGCATCGGTTGAAAAACGTGGCGCCCACACACTGACCTCCTCTCTCCTCAGGAAGTCGAGATGTTCCCGACGACTCTGTGGACAGTAATAGTAATTCAGGTGACCCTCGTGGAATGCCCGTCCTGTTGCTCTGTTGATGATCACTTAATTTTTTTTCCCCAAATCCATTCTGAGCTTGCAATGGATTTTTCACATAGGGACAATGTGGCGTCTCTGTGTCTTACGAGCCGATGGTGGTGATGATGATGGTGATGATGATGTTCAATTGTTGTACGCCACAGGGCATCAAACTTGTACACGGCAACTGTAACAGAAAGCAATGAAGCAGATTATTATGGAAATGTTAATATTTAATTTTAACTTCTTGAAAAATTGCTATTTTGTTTTAGATATTGTAATTTACAGTCCATGTGCATTTCTCCGGTTTGATGTTGAGATCCTGTTTTAGTGGGAAACCTTTCAGCAGATTCTGGTTATCAGTTACAGTTCACACAGTTTGATGCCCTGGTACAATCTAATGATATGCTTTCCTCCTTCCATCTTCAAGGCACAATCACACACTGACGATTAGTTTCAATGTGATGCTTCTTCCTCCTTGCAGCAAATGTCAGAGTTGCTCAGAGAATGGGCAACACTCTTTGCTGCAAAGCAATGGCAGTCGAGCAGAACAGTGGCTGGATTAGACGGTGGTCTCTTTGGGTCAACTTTCACCTTGATGGCTAGTTGAAGATGAAAATGTGAGCCATGCTTCATCTCAAGAAGATTTCTTTTCTTGGCGTAGGTAAAGCCAGATAATTATTTTAGGCATTAGACCAAACGAAACATTGTCAGCATCCTTATCGCCAAACCCAGATGTAATGTAGAGTACGACAAAATAACAGTTTACAGAGGAAGATAGTTTTAAAATCAAGAGTGAAGTATTCATAGATATAGAGATTGTTTGTTTATTTAATTCTGTCACTCCTGAGTAAACTGGGAAAAAAATAACCTAATTTTATTGAAAGCTCAATTTCGAGGCCTTGGTCACATGTGTAGTGAGGCTATGGCTTCACTTGCAAGGCCTGTTGGCTTCTGGTGCTCGGGTCTGCAGCAATCACTGCTGCAGTCTATCAAGCGCTGTGAGCAGAGTGCCGTGCACCAGGGCTGGGGTTATCTGAGGCTGAGATTGAAAAACCGCTGTTCGTAACGGGAGGGGGTACCCCCGCCCGTCCATAGACTCAATATGGGTTTTTTTTTCTCATCGTGGAACAGATTATGGCTATTTTCTAGATGCATGGCCTGCTCTACGGTGAGACAATGGCATTGAATCTTCGGGGAGGATGTCCCCTTCTGAAGATTGATGGTTCTCAGTGCGGGCCTCAGCTTGTTACTCGTAATGGACAATTTAACTCTAGTGCCGCTTTCTCGGCTTGACGCTAAACCCGGGTGTCTCCCCGCGCGCCATAATTGAGTTGTCATCGTGGAAGGAACAGGTGCTTAGTCTTCACCTGAGTGCGCGTACAAATCAGCGTCGGAGATTTTATCTGAATTTGCATACCGGTGAGGAAGATTGTGTGGCTAAATGCTCGAGCTGTAGACAAATTTCATCGCAGCGTTGTTAGGGTGCGACAGACCCCTAGGATGCATGGCACCTCATTGGAATGCCCGTGCTGTGTGCGGCGAGTGAAATGCAGGGCAATTCAATATATATATACGTTTGCACGCTGCACACGGTCGCACTTGTACCGATGTGACCCCAAGGAATGTTTAAAAAAAATGGTACCAGTTAATCTTGTCCTTCCTCACGATATTGAAGACAGGACGTTCCGTAGGTGACTCTTCCACGCACGCGGTCCGCAGCTGTCGATGGCAAAGAAACAAATCTTTTTTTTGTTTTAATTTCTAGACAAAATGTTAATGTCTGTATTCATGTGCTAATTGTGTGACTGTTCATAGCTGATGCCATTGTCCCTTGTGCGTTACCGGTGCAGTATTGATCTGCATCCGCGAATTTCTCTTTGGCCGCTTCCACACTTTATGTCACAAATTTCCTCTGCTGCTCTTTCTACTCTGGTTTTCTGCGACTTTGTCGCTCTAAAACGTGTTCCGCTTTCTTGCCTGGGTGGTGAAATCCGTGGCGTATGGGTCAACGTTTCTTTTGTAAGGCTAATGTGGAAAATATTCACCTGCCACATGCCTTCCCAGTGGTGCTCTGTTATTTTGTCCAACTTGCATGGTCACATATTGTTATGATCTTTTCTTAATGAGACATTTTTATGCGCATATAAAAGTCTCTTTTTTAAAAGTATCTAATGCGTACCTCTAAAAAGAGTTCCGAAAGAAAATGATCATAATTATTTGTAAAATTTAGTGTGGGATTTAGTCCACTGCACAATAATCCCAGTGGTTCCACTGCGATTCATTTGACCACGCTCACCAGTGACCATTGGTATTCTGAACGTGGCCTGGGGTTTTTCCTCGGCCAGTTTGGTATAAAATTCGAATGCATGGTGCAGTTTGTGGAAGTCGACACCGGGGGTAGATATCAAACGAGAAGTCTGGTGTTGGCCCCCATCACCGCGTCCTGCGCTATGTTTTTGGTAGGTGCTCGCTAACGGCAATGGCGCCACAACTGTCCATTGCAGCATTATCCGGATGCTTGTGATCAAGTATAGATTTTTAAATTCATGTCAAATTTCACAATGTTATCACTTAGTAGTAATGTTGAGGCACTCAGGCGTTTTTGCCGTGGCACACGTTGTTGCGTGCAGTGCACTTATGACCAAATCGTCAGCCAGAAGACACCCAATATCAGATCTCGAAAGCTAACCAGACAATGATCCTGGATGGTGCTTGTATAAGCGAACACCATGCATAGAACAGGTGTTGTAAGCTGCTGCTGAACTATATTGTTGGCAGAGGACAGGGCAATAAAATGCATAGTTGTACTATACTTTGCAGGAACGTCTATGATCCCCACCTTCACCAACCCGCACTGACCGGCGTGGTTAAGCATGGCCAAATAACGCTAATGACCGACGTGGTTTGGGGAAGCCTTCATCCAGCAGCGGATTGACAAAAGTGCCGTGCATGTACGTGTGCAATTAAGAGCGCAGGAAATGCCGTGTGCGGTCGTTGCATGCTTGCGATTGGCCTTTGTTAGTCACACAGGGGGCACCGCGGCCGTGAGGCGAGCGCTGAGAACAGCGGTTGTTTGACCTGCTGTATCACGTTTCTAGGTAGCAACGCCGGCAAGGTGGCCCTGCTGGTGATCTTCCTCTTGGTGGTGCCTCTCCTTGCCTGCGGAGTGGTGCTGTGCTACTGTTACCGGGAGGCACTCAAAAAGTCCTGGCAGAGTGGCCGTAAGCCGCGCGCTCAGACGTACAGGTGAGTGCGGCTAACTTTGGCCGGGCGGTCCCAGGGAGTAAGTATCAACTCGGTGGTAGCACAGAACGACCTGGAGGCAGTACGTGTGTATGTTGAACTTCTTTAGCACTGTACGTAGCCAATTGGAGGTGCAGGGGAAGGACAACAAACTAAACAGAAAAAGCAGTAAAAAAAGTTTTCACTTCAGATTTAAAAGTGCACAGCTCCAGTGGTTTCCTAATATCGGAAGGAAGAGCATTCCAGACGGCCGCAGAAGCGCATCTGAAAGGGTGCGATGCAGTGACCGTCTTTGTTCGATGGTTAGCCAAAAGCCGCTGCTGCTGCGAGGATGAGCGGATTTTGCGTGATGGGTTATTTTCCTTGACGGTCAGAAAGGTATCGTGGTTAATTTGTGGCAAGCACTTTTGCAAGGAGGGCACACGCGTTCCAACCATTGTGTAGACCAAGGGCTTGAAGACGAATAAGAAATGAGACGTTGCAAAATGTACTGTGTCCCGCACACAAATCTTGGGACAGATTTTAAATTGACTTGGCTATATTTGCACTTTTTCTTTACTCAAATTGCGTAGATTTGTTTCCATTGAGTTTTCTCAGCTGCGTGTAAAATGTAATATCTCGACATTGTCTTTCGTCTCACTCTCTGTGGACTTTACCACGCTGCTATGTGCTAATAGTAGGCATGTAACGATGCAACGATTTGTCTGATTTAAAATGAATTTTTCTGCTTGCGGTAGATGCATCGGATTTAGTGCGTGATAATTATTCATGATCTATGAAAATCATGCAGGTTGTGTTATTGTACATTGCGGCTAAGCGAATGAAACTGCACAAACGGGTTAAACCAAAAAGATTAAAACATTACAACATTGTGTTCATAAAATGAGCAGCAACCCAGAATCATGGCCATTGATTCGAATCGCAGGGATGGTTTAATGATGTGCGTTATAAATATGGTTTGTTTTTCTCCGGTGACGATGGTGATTGTGATGAAATAGGTTGAGGTGCATTTATTTTTTCCTCAGCTTTGTTTGCATCGTATATTGTGGCGTGACACCGTGCATATCGCCTGCCCCAGTGAGACCCGGGCTCATTTCCAACCCCGTTCAGTCATATTTACAGCATGTCCCCGTTTACTTTGTACAACCACATAGCTTGCACCTTGTGTTTTTAAGTTCAGGTTCAATTCCACGTGGACAACTGTGGATTTTCAACCCCACAGACACTACAGACTTACCTGTGAAATAGATGCAGTCACTTTTAGATGTTTTATAATTATGAATTGCATCACATAGCAATCAGTGAGTCTTTAATTCAGCATGGATTTAGACCTGCAGTACGTTGAAAGCTCCATAGGAATTTTATAATCATCTGGCAAAAAGGAAAAGCATGCACTAAACTCAATCCCATTATTGTTCATGTGTGCATGGCACGTACAATACGCTAGCGTCTGCCACCGTCTGCCACTGGTTGCAATCGTAAATTTGAAATGAGACTTTGTCATGACTACTGTAAGATCATGTTCGGTTTACTTTCAAGTGTCAAATGGGAATGTATGAGTACAGGGCTAAGCCAGGGTCATGTGGGTTATTAGAAGCGCTATTTTGTGCATGATGCTTGTCATGTGCGCTTTTGATGGCCTAGATAAGTGACGTGTGTCTGTGTCCTTGTGTGTTCCTTTGCTTGGTTTTAGCGATTGTGCCAGGGACAGTCATGAGGTACAGAAAATGACAGATTTGGAGGCCCAGGAGTTGGAAGGGTAATAGTGTCTCTTGGTGGTGGGGCTTGGGACAGCTTCCATTTTGCCTGAATACTGGAATGCCAAATCACTAGAACGAACAGTGCCTTAAAAATCCATTCAATTTGGCTCAATCGCTGCAGTGCGTCTGCAAATACTGTGAACATTGTGACGGTGTTAATTAAAAATGTGGTAATGAGCCATTTACACGTTTCATCAAATCTAAGCTCTATAGCACACCATCATTGTGGGAATTTCCCCTTTGTCTCCGTTATCTCGAGCTGAATTGCAATGTAACAAATTTAAATAATATTACCCGTCCAAAATGGAAGCTGGCTGGGCATTGTCGTGTTTAACCGTTGTGTGTCCACATACGTCCTAAGTGTAGGCGCAATGTTTTTTTTTTAAATTTTAGAGCGGCAGGCTTCATTGTCAATGCATTGTGAGTGGCATGGCTTACGGGGGTACGCGGAGCAAGGGATTCTTGATTGTCTTGCGCTTCCAAAACCCGAGTCCAATGCTTTTCATACTCAATCACTGTGGCGATCGCCACCCTCTGGATGTTCCAATTGATTGTTGCAGCGTTTGTCTTGAGCCGGTATCCTGTACACCTTGGCGGTTTTTTGTTTTTGTTGTAAAAGGAGCTTTTGGGTTCTCGTGTTCAATGAAAAAAATGTGCAGCATCGATCGATGGCTACCGCTTGGCCATGCCTGGATGTTTCCGCTGAGTTTGGATGTGTCGTTTTACAGGGACAGCGAGGCTGGGAATGGAGGGGATGCTGGACATGGCGGCAGGGTTCAGCAAACCGAGTTGCACACGGCACGGCCTGCACTGGTAAGACGAATGTGCCCCCTAGCATTGTTGTTACCAGTGGCAAAAGCAACTATAATGGTTCGGTGGTGGCTGTGGCTCATAGGGACAGAGCACTGGAGCTGGCATTAAAATCCTGGGTTCAAATCTGCATAGCCATCCGTCATAAAACTGGGTTCCTGAGTGTAGCCAGCTGATGGTCTCAGCCTGGTTACTGGATTGCATATAAAAACAACCCACGCCATGTCAATTTGGTTTTTAAATCTGGTTTTGCACTTCATCGCTCTGAGAATGTAAAATATCACATTTGCCGCGATGTGTTTTCGAGCGCGCTCCTAAAAACTTGGATTGAAATGATCACAGAATTAATAATGTACATTTGTAAGGTGCATTTCATCCGTAGTTTCCGTGTATGGAAAGCAGAAAATAAACAGATCCGGGCAGGGTAAATGGGCTGAACTGGGATGGGGGGGGGGGGGGTAAAGGCCAAGTTTAAGAGGTGAGTTTTCAAGACAGACTTTAATCGCTCTAATACTTTAATAGCTTGAACGATTCCCGATTGTTCTGTGGTATCACCTTCCACGAGCCGTTCCCTAATATGAGGTAGGGGTACTGCTCTGCAGGGGCTCCAAATGGATACTTTGACTCTGAACGTAATGCAGGTAGCACATTTGGAACACCATTCGGTTGCTAGGCTCCGTGGAGGGCAGAACAGCAGAATGAATAGTTGTACTTTATGCTTCGCTCGTGTGTGCTCCCCATCTTCACCCACCCGCCCTGGCCAGCATGATGTAGTATTGTCAAGTAACCCCCCTTTGATCCATATAGGCATGGGGAGGACCTCATCGAGCAGTCGAATGACACACGGCTGTCTCACACACACAGACCGTGTACAATGTGCCCTCTTAACAGTCCCCCTTGTGAGATGCTTATAGCCAATTCGCTCGTGTGTCAGGCACGAGTCACATCTCTGACTGCCCTTGCCCCAGTGGAGCTGCACCTCCCACCTCCTCCATGTGTTGTGCTGGTGACCTGGACAATGCTCTCCGTTTTTTTTTTTCTCCGCCAGTCCCCGACGAGGCCAAAACCCCCGACGAAGCCACTGCCTAGCGGAGGTCACGATCAGAACTCGACGACCAATGAGGTGCGCTGCTCGCCGACCTTCGTCCGCACTGTCACCGGATGCATGGTGTTGCCAGGCCGATTGCTCGCCACCTTTAATAGTACTACAGCAGAGGGTGCTGTTGTTACGTCGAGGTCGAGCGTGGCTGGGTGTCGTGCTCGCGTAGAATGACTCGGGGAGCAACACAAGTAGCCGCTAGTAGTTCAGTCACAACAAACTTACCGAATTCATCGTGAATTTTGGTTTGTAACAGATATAATACTAATATTTGTGCTTGTACACCACTGTAAATGCATTCCCTTTTTAATTTAAATGAAGGGATCGCAATTATAAATGGGCTTTATTTAATGATAGACACGTGGCAAGCAAAACTGTAAAAAACTAGGAGTAGTGTTTTGTGTTATGTGAAAATTCCATTATGATTGAACAATACCGCTGCCTAAATTGTCACCTGTACATGATGACCTTACCTTCTCCCTCACCTGCTAAACTAATACCGGGTCTCTGTGACATTAGGCTAGCAAAGTCAAGTGTTTTCCTTGATGTTGTTTTATTTACATCACGTCAATATCAAGTTTCCAGATTAAATTAGTCAAATGCCATTCGGAACTCTCACAAAAGGAACTGTATGACTTCATACTCAATGTTAGACGATATACCTCTGGAAAGTTACATCGCAGAACTACTTATGAGATATCTATATCAGTGTTTGTTCCATGGCAAAAATAAAATTTGCAATAACATTTCAGCCACAATAAGTTAATTATTTTTTATGGGACATGTTTGTGTAATGATTTATGACCCAGCAGTGCTGGCTCGGTAACTTTGACCCACCCAAATCCCTTTGTAAACAAATTTAAAAATTGTGGGAAAATCTGCACCCATTTCTCCTCATGGCAGCCACCGTATAAACCACCGCCACCACAGAAACCGCTGCCTTCGAACCCGGCGAGGCGTCCCGTGATGCTGTCACAAACCAAGATCCCTTCGGGGCCATCCTACGTGGCCCAGCCTGTCGTAGAGGTCACGCCCAGCAGGTGGGTGGCCACACTGTTGCATGATGACGCAGCCCAGTCAACAAAATGCTGTCACCTTGTGGACACTGACATATACATACGTATGTATGTTGAACTTCTTTCACACCGTACGTAGTCAACCGTGCTAATCAGAGATGCAGGGTACATGTACAGGCTTCCCAACACAAGTTTGAAGCTTTGTTAAGTAATCTTTTTTTTAGTCCACATGTTTATCCAGTAGCCTCACTTGGATCTCGAGACTCTTTTTCCAGAAGGGTCTTGATAGGTTTTTGCAGGGGGGGGGGGGGGTGACGTTGCTGTGTGTTTTGCCAAATGAGTGATTTAATTTAGGGGGGAGCTTCGTTACAAATTCTTAAATCAAGAGTCCTCATCTCATAGATCAAGGTGTTTGTTTAACCTGGTGGACTCACCAAGAGATGAGGCTCTTGAAGGTGCTTTCAAATCATGACCCACCAAGTGATATTTGCTTGTTGAGATGTGAAGAGGAAAAGATTTGTGAGATGAAAGTGAGATAAACAAGAGAGAGATGAGATACCTGGAGACAAGAGATACAGATTTGCGGTCACGTACGGCACGATGCTGTGTGACGTCATAATGTTTGTACACGTCACATATGATATTCCGTGGCTTGCCAGTACACTCTAATTTTATGATGTTGCTCACCAAAATATTGAGTTGATGAGCCCTGTTGTAATCCTAAACAAGATGAGGGCTACAATGGCTATTTCACGTTTTGGGTCACAACTGCTTTTGATCGTCACCACAATTGATAACGATTTCCTGTTGGGCAAACTGGTGAAGGTGGGCACAAGAAATTGTGGCCAGAACACAAACGAGTGACGAGATATGTGCGGCCCTGAGGCAATGGTGGAAATTTCACATTTCTCAGATGGGGGTCCCATGTGCTCTGTTGAAAAATCACTTGAATTCCAAACAAATTATCCTAATTTGATCTACCCTGGGGAATGGTGGGCTCAGTTGACCCCAACTAGGATTTCAAACTCGCAACGTTCCAATTGTGAGTTAGGCTCACTGATACATCCCCCGTGCCAGATTTATTTTTCACAAAGTTTCCACTTTTGTTTTAGTACTCGTTATTTGTGTGTGTCTAACTGCAGCAAAGTAGCACTTACCACTGTGCAGGGTATGAATGAGTGTCTCCAGGTGTTAAATAAAATGTTGAGAAAAAAAGTGTGTCGCCACATGATATTGAGATGTTATTGTATTCCATCAGCCTTTGAACCTTGGACTGATTTTGGCTGTCGGAGACTCATCAGCAGAATCGGGCCTGTGAAACGAATGTTGCTAGAGGCAGACGTGTATCCGTTTATTACTAGCCATAAATGTAATGAGGGATTTATTTATCTTTGAATATTATCTGATTTGCAGCTAGACTGGAATAGCTACGTGACTTGTAGCCACATATATTAGTGAGCATTATACTGGCTGTGGTGTACCGCTGAAATTAAGCCCTCGCTTTCATCGTCAAGCACTGCCCATATTTTTAAATCCGTTATATTAGGTTCACTTGCTTGCTGGCTTGCGCGCTTACGACCGTGCAAATCTTTCGGTCGTTTTTTAACCCACTTGCCGTGATCCAATCGAGCTGACATTTTGCACACAGACTTGTTATGCGTGACAATTTATTTTCGTGGAAATTTTTTTCAAAAATGTTCCACTTTTTAGGGAATTTTTTTTTTCATATGTAATTTAAAATACCAATGTGATCAAAATGAAACTCTTACTCAAGAAAAACAGAAATGAATAATAAAATGAAACCGATGCCACGCATATAAAGGATTTATAGTGAAAAACTTTGTTTTTACGGGTTAATTTTTTTCCTCCCAAGTGTTGCTGTTCACCAGAAGAATAGTGCCCCCTGCTGCAACAACATGGTTTTTCATGTGATTTCCCATACGAAGACAGAATTTTCCAGGCCCAATGCTCCTTTTGTTTTTTGGGGGGTAGGTTTCATGATGTTCGAGATACAATTTCTACATGCAAACTTCTTTGATGCTCTTAGATGTATTTTTTTTTCAAATGCTTACTATGCGCCATCTTTAAGTTCTGTTCACTTGAAATATTTTCCTAATTTATTTAAAATGTGTTTATGTTATGTTCTTGTAGGCATGTAAATATGCATGTATCCACTCCCAGAGATGTTATCAGTTGTGACAACTTTGGGTCATTCAATTCAATAACTTCTCGTCTTGTTCTTGCTGACTCATTTGGTATTGCTTCTCGTTTGTACAGTTTGGCCCTCAACTTTTTTTTAATATAAATGTAGCATGAGTACATCATTTTAATAAATCGTAAATAATCGTTTCTCTGCACGACTGGTTATAGATGTGTGTATGTAAGAATAATCAATTAATTGATTAATAGTCACATATTTAGTTTAATGCTAATTACTTTTACTATTCTGTTTACCCCATAATGCCTCGCTGAGTTGTAGGAGAGTTCTGCTTCGGATGTTCAGCCAGTTCATTTTTAAGTATATTTATATGTTGGAGGATACCGAAATGCCTGGGGAGAACCTACACATCCATGAAGAGATTACCCAAACACCACATAGAAAGGTCCATGATAATGTAGGCCCATCCATATCAACATATTTCGCATAAGGTCTGGAGCCGGTGGCACATTGGGTTCATGGACTGCGTTACAAACTTGTCAACCCGAATTCAATTCCCGGCCAAGGCCAATATTAGTGGCGACTAATTTCTTAACCGGTCATGGGCCTCCCCCTAAATTCACTACCCTACTCTGAACTGTGTAGTGAAGTACGGTCACGTGACCTCCATTAGCAACATGGCGTGGGGAGGCTTTCATCCAGCAGTGGATCGACAAAGGACTAGACATTATGTTTCACATGGTGCTTGAGTTGAAAATATGTTTTGTTCTATGTGCCATTGTGTGTTTTCAGACCACCACCTCCCGCACCCAAGAGCAAGCCCTCCTCCAATGTCAGGGCCTGAGCCTCTTGGAAATATTGCTGAGCGAGTCACACCTGACAGGGCTTGAGACCAAGAAAATAGCTCCACGTTCGGTAATGATAAGCAACAGTCCGGGCCAAAGCAAAGATGTGAAAATGACACTCGGTGCTGCTGTATGCTGCGGTTTCGCAACTTATATCGGACACAACCAGCAAGATACAAACAGATGGCACCCTGGCATCATAACACGCGTCAATTATAAGAGCACAAATCCACTGTTGCTGCGTGATTTACAAAACTGACGAAATGCCGATTTAAGTTTGAGAACTTCTTTGGGTTTGCTGGTTCTGGATGTAAATATCTTTTCCAGTTTGAGGCAAATGTATATCACTGAGCAATGTGCTCAGAGTAGACCAGCAAATTGCTACAAATCCAGTTTATTTAGTAAAATCACAAATTTAAGTTTTCTTGCTAAAAATACCTTGCTAATTAACAAAAAAGTCCAATCATTTGTATGTCATCACCTTGATATGATTTGACAAAAGCATTAGATGCTGTGAGGTATAATCATAATGCCATATCTTTCTCCAGGAAGGATAAATATATGGTATTACTGATTCTCAAAATGTATTATCAGGTGGGTTCTGCATTGGAATGTTTATCCAGCCCGTTTAAGGAATCTGTTGAATCTGGGAGGAAACTGGAATACCCAGAGAAAATCCAAACTTATGAGATGCAAACACACAAAGGTCAGCACAGAACGGATCCATGAACAGTACTTATATCTCCTTGACCACGTTAGAACTCGGTGGGTTTAAGTTTTCCAAACCTCTCCATGATCCACTAACCCTAGTCTCCAACACACTGGATCACAGGCACGCACCACTATGTCCTGGTTGAGTTCGTTGTTGTATATGTTGCATTTTAAAACAAGTTACAATTAAGGCAGTGGAAATGTTGTCACAATTGGCATGTACATTTCTAATTACATATTTACGAGAAATTGTTTATTCTTAAAGTGTTTACTTAGTCACTGTAACAAAATTCGTGGACTATGGCCACACTTTCTCAAGTAATAATAGTACATATTAAATGTTGATTTACTGCCTATTAAATTGACATTTGGTAGAGTTTAATAGTAACAATTGTTTTTAAAAAAATTATATCATTGTGGAATTGTGATTGAGCTGCAGTCCAACAATTACAATGATCCTTTTAACCACCCAGACGATTTGGCCGTATGCGCACATTTATTAAGTGAATGTGTAAATGAAATATTTCTGTGGGTTACAAACTGCGAAAATGCCTTTCTCAAAATGTCGTAAAGATTTGTATGGCTTTTGTTAACTGACTTATGCACTCCGTGACCATAATTATAGTTTGACATTACATACCTACGAGCAACTTGAGACGTTTTTCAATGTTAGTGGTGTTCCTCTGTGACTAAATTAAATGTCTTAAATAATATATTCTATAAGAAAGGGCTTTTTAGAAATACTTGACATATTTTCCTTTTATTATATTTTATTAATCTAGTATATACTGTAGTTGAATTGTAATTAAAAAGAATTATGGGTAAGTGGTTGTGTATAGTTTGTATAAATCTGTTATCACTTTGTTGTACAATTCCATCTTTTTTTTATAATAAAATCGTGAGAATTATGACAAATGACATTCTGCCAGAACGTACAATGACACGTCGTATATATTATCCTCATAAGCATAAAGCCTCTCCACGGAGGCCAAATGACAAAGGGTTATGGTGTGGTAGCGGTTCATATCTTCTAAATATAACTGCCATTATATTTCGAAAAAAAAGTGTGGCAGTGTGATAAAAATGTGTTTTCTGAAAGTCATTATGGGGGATATTACTGTACCGCTCTCTTGCATGAGTTTAGTGCAATACATATATCAAAAAATCAATTTCATGCTATGAAGATTTCTGTTGATGTTCTCTGTTAAATGTGTTATGGTTTGCGCGTAATTAAGTTGTATGACTCCTTGTACAGATTTATTGTTGGTATGTTCTACGTTTGTCTTTTTAAAACGGATTAAATTTTTCAGGATTACTGCATCAGCAGTTTGTCTTACGCCTGAGGAAAAAATGTTGCCGTACATTGAACTCTTGTACGTTTCAAAGAGTGTTTCTGAATGGCTGAAAAGGAGGTTCATGCCAAATGAATGTGCAACTGGATGGGTTTACTCTAGGATTCGCTGCTTTTTAAAAATTGGTTTTACATTTACGTAGATATTTGGTGATATAATCCACCTGGAATAATGAAAATAAAGAGTATCTGATCTGTGTATGGTATTGACTCGCTCGCTTTGTGGCTCTACTTGTATGGAGCACCAACCAACATCATCATCATTGTCAGCTTCCATGATAAATCCACTGTTGGATGAAGGCCTGCTGAAGTCATCGCTATTGCTTCTGTGATGTAATAAACCACCTACGACTTGCACACGGGCTGATTTCATCAACTCCATCTCTTTGATGGACAGGCCCTCGGATATGTTAAATTCTTTTGGCGTCACTCCAATTACTATTCTTCTCCAGTAATGTGCCTTGCCCAAGCCCACTACTTTCATGGGAAATTTTAATAATGTATATAACTTTCATATGTTCTCGAATCCATGTGTTTCTCTCAATGTTATTCCAATTTCCATTCACGTACCACCCAACGCATGACTATCCTGCAGGGTCAACATATGTGCTCATCAGTGGCGTTACGTTGGTGCCCAGTCAACCTTTGCTCTGCCATTCTTGTTCGTTGCCTTGTCTGGCACTCACTTTGCCCAGCCATCTGTCATGTCGACTTCCTGTCCCTGGTCATGTCTTTGCGTGAAAGCTCCATGTTTCCTATGTGACCGTCTGCCTCTATATAAAATAAGTATGCCCACTGTTTCTGTACTCATTTAAACGCAGCAAAAATACTAATTGTATGACTTGATGTATATTTTGTGAGCGTAAAAATCGATTTCTTGTGTCAGTTGATGCATTGTCACATGCCAAATAGGTAGTAATTAAACCAAGTGGGTGCACATACATGTTGCTTGCTTGACGGGCAAGCTGTCATGCTGCATCATTGTAGGAGCCGTATATATTCAATACATCTCAAAGTATTACATATCAAGGATCACATCCTTCACAGATGGGATCAGATCACGAATTTTATGTACTGTGTTGAATCAAACCTGGATCTTGTGTTTGCTCATGATTTTGGAAATCTTTTTGGTAACCCCTGCTATGTATGGCAAGGTGATGGTTTTGATTGGGTCCTCAGATGGTTCTTTCCCAACGGTTGGGGTGATAGCTTTACGGATTGTGTAGTCCGCATATCCATTCATCTTGAGAGCTTGGTGTACGTGTTCTATTTCACTGGCTAGGTGGTGATGGTCGGAAATACAACGGGCTCTATGGTGTAGAGTTTTGATGAGGAATTATTCTGGGCTGGATGGTGGTGGGAGTCAGGGTTTAGATAAGCATCCATATGCGTGGCTTTCCTGTAGACAGTGTCCCATTGAGCCATCTGGTTTCTTTTCTATTAAAACATCCAAGAATGGTAACATTCCATCCTTTTCCACCTCCATGATCTCTTAATTGGTTGACCGTGTAAGTCAATCCCAAGCTTCTGCTGTGGGTCTAGTTGCCAACTCTGAAGCTATTCAGGGAGATTTGTTTTATGTTCTTAAAATATCGCCTTAAAATCTCCCGGATTGCTTTCAATAGTTACCGGGAGGTCGATGCCAATTCTGGTAAAGACTCCTGGGCCAATCTGGGAAGGTTGGCAACCAGAGCTGTAGATAGAGCCCTGTCTGGGCCCGGTGGCAATCGCGTACCGTGCGTTTCTTGGTGACGATCTGGTGTTCTGCTGGACAGAATTCGCAAGTTTAGCCGGGACAACAACAAAAATCATAATTTGAAAGCGAGACACATGTCATTGTCCACATTGGAAACTGGGACTGCTTTTATGGGGCGTTTGGAATCGTTTAAAAGCTTCTGCTCGTGTTCAATTATTTCCAATTATTTCAATGCAGACTCATACTGTAATAAAAAAGTACCCAGTGCTGCACAGTGATATTTATGTCTGTAATTGTTAAACGTATCGCGGCATGTTCGTGGTGACAACTGCTTTGGCCATGCTGATGACATCTTGAGACGTCTTGAAGTTTATGCCAAATGACTGTGACAGCATTGCGAAGGGCCGGCACAACTCACTTCACCAGTACATCGCATTAAGGTGGGTGACTCCATAGCTTGTACTCAAGAGTATAACTGGTAAATTACGTTTTTATAGCATGAAAATGAATAGGCTTTACCCTTTCTGGCAATAAAACAGGAAGTGTTAAGATGTTCAAACACCAAATAGCTTATGCAAGACATCAAGTCTGCATGAACCTGTGGCAAAACATTCAAACCACAAAAGTGCATGCGGTTCATGCAGATTTGATGCCTTGCAAAAGTTATCTACTTGGTGTATAAACATCTTAACACCTGTTTTATTGCCAGAAAGGGTAAACCCTATTATTTTCCACACTTTGATACTGGAAAAACGGCCCCATAGATACGTTTTTTACAGCCTGTGGTCGATCCACTGCTGTCTTAGGAATTCGCCAATGCTGAGCCTCCTCCATGAGACACCACGCATCGTGGGGCCTCCAGGTCGTTATCATTGTCGACCCACCGTTAATTATGTCCACGTAAATTAATTTCGTCAAACCACTGCTGTATGATGTCCTTCCCAATTCATGACGGGTTAGTCAACAAACTTCCACGCTGGCCAGTGCGCGTTGGATGAAGGCGGGGAGCATATAGACGTGGGAGAAAACTACGGCGCAATGTAAGTTGTTACACCAACCCTCCGCTGCCCACATCCACATCAATACTAAGTGACTGCGACGTCACCACGGCGCCTGTGCCAGGCAAGGTGCACTTTGAGGCCACGTGAAGTGTCGAAGGCTCACTGACGGGAGGTCACGGGACGGACCCAGGTGCCACATGGGTTGACTGATTGAGACGATATTCTTGGTTCTTTCGGTAAAATCACGTATAAGGGAAATAATAAAATATAAAAAACACAAATTCTCACGACGTTCAGACTGAAACACACGCAATCATCATCAGGTGTGAAATCCACAGCAAGAAAATGTATCATTTTATTTCCCTTCTACGTGACTTTACCGAAAGAACCAAGAACATGAATCCCTGCAGTCACGAAAGCTTTAAATAAAAATTTGACCGAGACGACTTGCAGCCCAATGACACACCACCTGTGTGTGCATAGGGGTCACCCAGTCAAGCACTACCCAGGCTCAAATCTTGGGTTTGGATGGGCACATCAAGTTCATTTAATAGGTATAGCCCTGTGAGCCATTAGGCTCTTGAATCGGGTGATTTTGTCAAAGGGCAAATGGATGTCAAAGGGCAAATGGAATACATCCGTTGAAATGCGAATGAGAGTGCCCGTGTGAAATCCTAATGCCACACAGGCCTCCCCAGGTCTTCAATTTGCCTCTCGCCACGTGGAGTTCAACAGGTGCCTGACCTCGAACGCGTGGGCGAGATCTCGCGAGAGGCGGGGGCTATTCTCGCGAGATTTCGCGAGAGGCGAGGGATAGTCTCACGAGATTTCGCGAGAGGCGGGGGCTATTCTCGCGAGATTTCCCGAGAGGCGGGGGCTAGTCTCACGAGATCTCGCGAGAGGCGGGGGCTAGTCTTGTGAGATCTCGCGAGAGGCGGGGGCAAGTCTCGCGAGATAACCGCGTTGTTTACGTCTCCAAGGCAACGCGCCCAACAGGCCCCGGTGCAAACTGAAGCCTTCGTTCAGCCACTTAACGTTTCTGTGGTTTTCATTGTGCCAAGTAAATTTTTTAAACAACAAGATTCATGTTATTTGTATAAGTACAGTGTTGTGTATACGGCGTCAGCTATGGAAGAGGTACGTACTCGTTATTTATATACCGAGGATCACATTAATGTAATATTGCAGTTCAGTAATGCAAATACACGTACTACTGTTTGTTTTTAAAATATTTTTTGTGCATATAATACTGTAACATTGCGAATATTTAAGCTGTGGAAGGTTAACCTCAATGTAGGTTGATATATTCAATGTGTTTCGACCAATTTTGAAAAAAAAATAGTTTAAAGATTTTTTTGTACCAAATCCATCATTCATCTTTCAAACATAATTCAATTCTTGTGCATTTTCATCAGTCCTATAAGTCACATCTTCACCACATCGATAAATGTACGATACACCTTATATTGATTATATGTATACATTAACTTGTGTTCTGGAATATTTTACTATTTTGCACATTTCATACAAATTTCACCGGTACTCCAATCTCATGTCTCCATTGGAAACTATATAGAAAAAGTCCCAAGTGTCTTCATCTGTCTAAACTACCACCAACCACCATCATCATCATTACGATCCGTAAGGTGTCCACTGCACATTGCGTCAATTGTTTCTTTTCCCTCCGTCTTGTGGTGCCAATAAACTCAAGTAGTGGCCACATCTTTCTGGCACAGATCTATTGCGATGTCGTCGCCACGACATCCTCTGTTAAGTCTTCTCTCACTTTCCCCATTCTTCCATTTCGACCGAAACAACGCACTTTCAATTGTCCTGTTCTTGTCCATTACACACGTGTGTGTCCAAATAGTGCCTGGATCAGGTCTTCTTTTTCTTCTCTGTGAAATGTGTATTTTCTTATTCAACTTCACGCGTGAACCATTTTACAACTCTGTTTACACTTATTATTATTCATGTTCTATGAAGAGCCATTGCCCGAAACGTCGCTAAGGCCACACACACACACACTGTTGTTGTTAACGGATGTGTTGAGTGGTTTGTTGTGAACTCTGCTTGTACCCCACTCCCAACGCAGGAGCAGCAGGCTCACCACGGAATAAATACTCTAAACGTAGCATAAGTGAAACTAATACAACTATTCTCATCCACTGACTTTACAATAAGATTTAGGAGAATATATGGAATCCACTTATGCAAATACAAGCAAGAAAATTTCGTTTCCAAACGAAGAGAAGAAATTACTCCATCCACAAATGCAATTCAGCCTGACTAAATGCATTTGTGTTAGGGAAATGAAGATATTCGTCTTGGTGTTAAGTGGGATATTCGGGATTATCTATTCGTATAAATCCCCGCGAAAACGATAGGGAGAAATTATATCGCAATGCCTCTACATGTCTCCCACCAATCTCAATTCACGCATTAAATCGTTTAACTCACTCCATTGGAAGATATGGAGCCATCAATGTGACGGTATTCCAT